TAAAACCCTGTCCTTAAAAATACAAAATAATTAGCCAGGCATGGCGGCACTCACCTAGAGTCCCAGCTGCTCAGGAGGCTGAAGTGAGAGAATCGCTTGAACCCTGGAGGCAGAGGTTGCAGCGGACCAAGATGGAACCACAGCACTCCAGCCTGAATACCAGAGTGAGACTTTGTTTCCAAAAAAAAAAAACATAGGCACCTGGGAGGGGAGGATTCTGGAGGTAGTGACAGCGATTCATGGCCCCCCAGAGAGCATTGCCGGGGCCACCAGACCCAAGGAGGTGGGGGATGATGAGGGTCTCCTCCAGACAGAGGTACCATGGCAGCGTCTGTGCAAAGGCCCTGGGGCTGGAGGGCAGGGGGCAAGTTTGAGAACCATGTGTACAGCAGAGGGAGAGGTGGAGGGGAGGGCATGGTCGATGGGGCTTAGGGGTCTGCAAAGGGCTAGTCTTTATCCTAAGAGCAAAGAGGATTTCTCATTTCTCACTGGGGCTCCCAAGGCCCCCAGGGCTTCCCATTGGGAGGGTTTTCATAGGGCAACTGGTGTGAAAGAGGAGATTTTACCTCCTTTCCAAATGTACAGTGTGAGAGGATCACTCTCCACAGCTCAGCATCCTCATCTGTAAAACGGGTTTGTGATCGAGCTGTGCACGCACTGAGCCTCCCCAGCCTGGGCCCAGGCATGCCGCCATGTTGGTCCCTTTCCTCCATAAAAATATCTTAAATTACATTTTATGACTTGGTTAGCATCAAGACAAATTTATTCATATTATATCTGTCTGGGAGCAGTGGCTCACACATGTAATCCCAGCACTTTGGGAGGCCGAGGCGAGCGGGACCGGGCCACCTCTGCCTGCAGTGGGGGCAACAGGTGACTCCAGGAGCAGCCACAGACCAGGGCACTCCACAGCCTCCAGGCTGTGCTTGCTGCCGGGAGCTGCACCCCCACCTGGAGCCCCAGCAAGCTGTGCCCCCCGCCAAGCTCCCAGGGCCAGGCTCGGGGCCCTCAGCCACACACGGCGTTCAGAGACCCCTGTTTGCTGGGAGCAGGTCTGGGTCCCTTGGGTGGGGCCTGGTCACGAGCCCCAGCTCGGACCGGAAGTCCAGCGCCCATCCCCCACCTCACGTGGCCATGGCCTGCCTGCAGCCCCCAAATCTCGAAAGAACAACCGTTTGAGATGGGTGTGTTTGCAATCAAGGAAAGGGGCTATAGCAGCCAGTCTCCTGGGCCCAGGTCCATCTCCCCCCATCCCTGGGTACTCGGTGAACCTCACTTACCCCCTCTGGAAACTGGGTTGATGACCCATTGGATAAGGACTAGAGCCTTCCAGCAAACTGAGGGGGGCATGGGGTGCAGTAGAGCAGGAACTTGGAGGCTCAAGCTGGTGGCTAGGGACTGGCTGAGGTGAAAAGGGTTGGACACGGGCCAAGATTTTGGGGTGCACACAGGCCTGGGGAGCAGGGAGACCCAGGAGGCCTGGCCCTGGGCTGGATGAGCTGGTGGCCACACCTGGAAGGCTGGCTGTCGGCGTCAGCTGGCACAGCCAGCCTTGGTTCTTCTCCCCAAGCCTCCAGGCCATTCCCCTGGACAGCCCAGCTGTCGGGTCTTGGAGGTAGCTTTATGGGACCACCATGTGGACGGGTGTCGGGACCTAGGGGAGAGGGCCAGAACGGGGACCCAGAGAAAAGAGGAGCTGAGGAACAGGGTCCCAGCCACCAGGTTGGCAACCTGCCCCCTGGAGCCCCCACCCATGGGACACCAGGCATGGCAGGCTGGAGAAAGGGGCACAGCAGACTGACCTCCCAGGGCACCCACTGGGCGTGGGTCAGGCTTGGAACCAGGTCCTCTGTGCAGCCGAGTCTGAACCCCACACTGGCCGCAGCCGCCCTCTCCCACCTGTGGCCAATCACACCTCCTGGCCTCCCGCAGCTCCACCCAGTGAAGGCTTCCCTCTGCCCCCACCCACCTCCCTCCTCAAGCTCTGGCCGGTGGGCATCGGGTCAGTTCACCCACTCACCTTGCCGAGGCAAGGCCACACACAGTGGAGTTGGGGGCACCAGGTGGGCAGGGGACAGCATCACCTTCCCACAGGGGCCTACAGAGCGGCAGGCCAGCACCCTCCCCTGCCACCCCTACGTGGCTCACTGCCAGCCTATTTGGCACAGTGCCCTCTCTGAGCGGGAGCCAGCTCATTTGTGGCCGGTGTTAATTAAGAGAGAGGTGATGGGGGTAGGTGGGGAGGGGCCAAGGAGGGCAGCTGCCGAGAGGCACCCAGACTGCCCAGGTCGAGGGGCCAAGAGCTGGACTGTGACCCGCGATGCCCCCCTCCTACCTTGCTGGCTCTGGGGTAGCACTGCCCAGACACCCAGCCCTCACCTCTACAGCCGGACCTGCTGTGTGGGGAGTGGGTGGAGCTTGCATCTGGGGCCTGTGGGGTGTTCTGCCTGGTTTCGAGAAGGCATGCCCCACCCCTGGCCAGGGGAAGGTGGTCCCTCTGACCATACCTCAGGCAGTCTCCCCAGGGGTCAGCTGGCTTTGTGGCTTGGCTTTGGAGTCAGACCCTGTCCCAATTTTGCTACCATCACTCCATGACTCAAGCCCCCTGAGCCTCAGTCTCCTTCTCTGTAAAGTGGGAACCATGGCACCTCCCTTGTGGCTTTGTTATAATAAATGGGCCCGCCGGGCACGGTGGCTCACGCCTGTAATCCCAGCACTTTGGGAGGCCGAGGCGGGTGGATCACAAGGTCAAGAGATTGAGACCATCCTGGTCAATATGGTGAAACCCCGTCTCTACTAAAAATACAAAAAATTAGCTGGGCATGGTGGCACGTGCCTGTAGTCCCAGCTACTCAGGAGGCTGAGGCAGGAGAATTGTCTGAAACCAGGAGGCGGAGGTTGCAATGAGCCGAGATCGTGCCATTGCACTCCAGCCTGGGTAACAAGAGCGAAACTCCGTCTCAAAATAATAATAATAATAATAAATGGGCCCATCTGTGCCCAGCGTCCAACCTACACGCAGCAAATAGTCTTTGGTCAGCAGAAATGTACATTCATGGCCGGGCGCCGTGGCTCACACCTGTAATGCCAGCACTTTGAGAGGCCACGGCGGGCAGACCATTTGAGATCAGGAATTTGAGACCAGCTTGACCAACATGGTGAAACCCTGTTGCTACCAAAACTACAAAAACTTAGCTGGCTCTGGTGATAGGCACCTGTAATCCCAGCTGCTTGGTAGGCTGAGGCAGGAGAATCGCTTGAACTTGGGAGGTGGAGGTTGTAGTGAGCCAAGATCATGCCACTGCACTCCATCCTGGGCGACAGAGCCAGACTCCATCTCAAAAACAACAACAAAAGAAATGTCTATTCATGGGCACAGGCCCTACCCAGAGTCACGGGGGCTGCCCCGGGCCGGCCTCGGCACCCCACTGTGGTCCGACTCCCTGCTCTCCCTCCGGCACCGGCTCATGCTCCCACTGCCTCCCTGGCACCGCTTGGCTCACCTCCCCCTCACTTCCCAAGGCCCCCACCCCTGCTCTGGGAGCGCCCAGTCGCTCCTGGCCTCTCCATCTTAATTAGCTGCTTGTATTAATCTCGCAAGTAACGTGGCAACTTGCAGCCCTGGGTTTTCAGGCTGTGGAATTAATTATTCCCCAAGCGAAGAGATGTCAGCTGTGGGAGACCAGCCACTCGGAGCCGCCGACACCACTCAGCAGCGTCCACGCCATCCTCGCGGCATCTGGGGCCTGCAGCCTGGCCGGCCCAGCTCGGCTCTGTGCCCCCCACCACCACCTTTCTACAGAAAGGGCTGTGATGGGCTGGGCAGGTGGGGTGGGGGGCAGAGCTGTGTGCGGAGCTGAAGCCCTGCCTGGGAGCCAGGACTCCCGGGCAGAGGGGCGGGCACAGCTGGCCTCCCACCTGGGCAGCATCTAGGCCTGGGCGGCACCTGCCTGGCCTCGCCCACCGCTTTCCCTGATGAGCTCTGGCAGTTTCCAAGGACGAAGGCTGCCGGCGGGAGCTGGAGCCCAGGCTGGGGGCAGCACCGGCCTGCACGGCCCTGGCATTCCTGCAGAGGGGGGCTGCCAGCCTCACTTTGCCCCCATGTCAGCTGCATGGTGTGGGGGTCACTGACTGGGCAGACTGAGAGGGACAGGGCTGTGCAGGAAAGTGGCAGCCATACAGCCGTCCGTACAGCTCTGCCTGGCAGCACCACCCTAGTCCAGGGACGGGGAGGGACCCAGGCCTTCCTGCAGCAAGGCCCAGACTGAGGATCCCTCTCCATTGGCCTTCACACGGGCCGGCAAGGTGGGGCTGTTCTCCCACATGGGGAAACTGAGGCATGAGGCTACGTGGCCCCAGTCACCCGCTATTGGTCTGGCTTTGGCTCCAGTGGCAGGGCTCCAGGCCTCTTAACCTGGCTCACTTTGTCCCTCTCGTAGCTAGGTGCCCCTTCCCATGACCACGCCCACACCCCCAGTGAGGGTCCTTGTTCTCAGCCCTCCTGCCCTGGCCCTGGGCAGTGCTTAGCTGGGTTGCAAAGGCAGTTTGCTTCCTAGTGGCTTCAAGGCTGTGTCCTGCCAGAAGCTGTGAGCCCTGGGGACAGGGACCTGTGCCATCCTCCCCAACTCTGCATTAGGCCTGGTGCTGACCAGCCTCAGGACACACTGTGGACAAAAGAGTGAAGGAATGAAAGGGCCGTGGTGCAAGCCATCTGCCTCTCTGGACCCCCCATGCTTTTGCGTCTGGGTGATCGGGCAGGAGGCCCTAGTAGCTCTCCTGTGTCCCCACCCCTGCCACCCTACAAACCCCAAGCCCATGAGGAACCTCCTCCCTCTCCCCATCATCTACCACTGCCCCAGAGGACTGGGAAGATCCTGTGCCCTGAGGCTGAAGACCCAGCTGGCAGCCCACTCCCATCTCGACCTCACCCTCCCCTCAAGACTGATACTCCCACCCCAGCCCTGTCCCCACTGATCAGCCTTTGTCTGTCTCTCTTGCAGCCAACAGCTCCCTGCTCGGAGGCGGTGGTGGTGAGTGGACCTTCTGTCTTGGTGGGAGTGAGGGTGGGAGTGGCATCTCCCCTGCCCCTCGACTTCGGTGCCCAGATCACTGCCATCCACATTCCCTGATGACCTCACAGGGCGTATCCCTCCCCCAGAGCTAGAGACCTGGATGGCAGGCCTGCCACCCTCACCACCAGGGACCCCAGGCCAGCTCCCCACCCCTCTGAATACAAACCTCCTGCTCTGTAACTGGGCAGGGGCCGCAAGTGTGGTGGGAAAAGCCCAGCCCTGCCCTTGATCCCCCCATGATCTTGGGTAGCTCTATCCCTCTTGGCCTCAGTTTCCCCACCTGTGAGGGCAAAATGATCATCTCTGCCCTGCCCCTGGACCTCAGGCTCTGCAGCCAGGACAGGTCTTGGAAAGGCAGGGAGAGAGCCGCCAGCTCTCAGTCCTGGGATGTCGCTGTGTTCACCCTTGTTAACAACCCCCACGGAGCAGGGGTTCCGGCAGGGCCAGGTGGGCAGGAGGTCGGAGGTCAGGGTGGACCCGGCCACCAGGGATACAGGCCCAGATCACAGGTACCAAGTGGGGGTGTGTCTCTCTACCCCCAGCCCCTGCCTCCATGGCCAGCCCACCCTGGGCAGACCACCCCAGCCCCTTACCCCCAGCTGGCCGGGCTGCCCACTGTCTGCACAGGCAGCAGAATGATTGGTGAGCCAGGGGCCAGGGGTTAATGCGCCGTGGAATAAATCCCGGGGGCCGTGTTTACAGCAGCGGTGGCGGGGTCCAGGCCAGGTTTTAAAAGGGGGAAAAATAAAAGGGGCATGAAGGTCAGGAATAAATAAGAGCAGCGTTAAGAGCTGTCGGTGGCCAGCCAGGATGCAGGGTGGGGGGCTGTTTGTGGCCGAGATGTTTTCCCTCCTCCCTTTTCTCCTCTAGCTGTCCCCATGGAGGTCACAGCTCCCTGGAGGCCTCATAAAGTGAGGGACTTTGCTGGGGACTGTTGGCCTGAGGACAGGCCACCTAAGACCATCTTCCGAAGCCTGTCCTTTGGGAGGACAGTTTGCAGACCCAGCCCCTGCGTGTCCCACCCACAGCACTGTCCTTCCTCTGTTCCTTTATCACCCCTGTGTGCTGGGCCCTGAGCTGGGTGCCGGGACAGGTACTCCTCGGCACAGATGGGCCTGGTTCCTGTCCCCTGAGCTCACAGTGCAGATGAGGGCACCACCATGACACAGGGTGAGCTGTGGCATGGGTGTGGGAGTGAGAGTGGGGGTGGCACCATAGAAGCTTGGTGAGGAGTGCTTGCCCCCACTTGGGGACATCAGGGAGGCTTCTAGAAGGAGGTGGCACCTCCACAGCAATCCAAGGGATGGGTGGGTATGAGCCCGGTGAAGACTGCTGGGAAGGGTGTCCCAGGCAGAGGGAACAGCACGGCAAAGGTTTGGAAGCGGAGGAGAGGGAGGGGAATTTAGGGAGGCTCCGACTCGGGGAATGACTGGAGCCCGGCCAAGAGGTGGGGAGACGGGAGATGGCCCAGGAGCCCAGAGAACCCATGAGGAACGAGATCTCTAGCCACTCAGTTCAGGAAGACAAAGGTCACACAGGGGTGGGCCTCAACCCCACATCAGCTCATTGAGTCTCTTCTGCCCACGACCCTGCCTGGGCTCTCATCTCACTCAAGGCCTAGGCCAAGGTTCTTTCCATGGTCTGTCAGGTCCCAGCCACCTCTCACAGTCACCTCTACTCTGCCACCCTCCCCCCTCGGCTCCAGTCACCCCTGCCTTCCCGGACAGGCCCCAAGCACTCCTGCCTCTGGGCCTCTCGCTGCAGGTCCTTCTGCCCGAGGTCCTCCTGACCCAGGTGTCCACTCGGCTGCTCCCTGCACTCCCACAAGCCTTCATTTGAATGCTGTCTCTCGGGGGCCCGCCCTGGCCCCGCCCTGCTCCGGTTTTCATTTTTCTGAGCGCCTGTCTCCTAACGTGCTGTATAATCTACTTACATATTGTATTCCTTGTCTTCTGTCCCCCGAAAATGAAAGACTGCATCTTTTGCACCCAGAACTGGGGCTGGCACTTATAATAAGTGCTCAATAAAGGTTTGTAATCCCAGCCTATAACCGTAGCGCTTGGGGAGGCCGAGGCAGGAGGATTGCCGAGCCCAGGAATTTAAGACCATCTTGGGGAACATAGAAAGACCCCCATCTCTACAAACAAAAATAAATTAGCCAGGTGTGGTAGCACATGCGCCTGTAGTTCCAGCTTGGGGGGCGGAGGTGAGCTGAGACCACATCACCACAGGGCAAGACCCTGTCTCAAAACTGACAAAAGTTGATTGAATTACAGGTGAAGGTAGGGACCCTATGCATTCATCAAGGGACTTTCCCACGGGCAGCAGGGGAAACCACAGAAGTTTTGGCACATCCAGGACTGGCTCACAGGTGGCCTGTGACCTCACTCTGGAAAGTGGAGGGGCCCTGCCCTAACCACTCAGGGTCACGGTCATTCTGGTTCCCCTGCCAGCATTTAGGGGTGAGGAGCAGCTGGCACAGGCGTCTCGCACAACCTGACTGACACAGAGATGGACGGAGCGGGTGCCCAGAGGACGTGGGCCCGGAGTCCAGCCTTTTAACACAGGCTGAGATTTATGGAGCCACCGCCAGCGCTTGCTGGGACTGTCACTCTGCTAATGGGATGAGAACACAGTGGAGGTGGCAGGGAGGGGCTTGTTAGGGACGAGCCTGGGGCTGGAATGGAGCCCAGCCTGGGCCCTGGAGGTGCTCTGCCCTCCCCTGTACCCTTACTCCTCCGCCATTCTTTGAGTCCACCCAGCCCTCATCCCCTACCTGCCCAAGTTAGACCCCACCTGATTCTGCCCAGACACACGCATCTTCCTGTGATGCCCCTTGACGTCCTCCCCGCGGGGTTCAGGCTTCTACCCCTCCCTCCCATGACCACCCACCCATTGTTCCAACAAGCACAAGGGCCTTCTTGCCTGCCCTGGCCATGCTGCCCGGCGCCCTGATGTGCCCCCTGCTCCATGTCTTTGTCCCACAGCCGTGGTCCCCACTTATGTTTTGTGTTTGTTCTTCATTGCCTTCCTCCCCACTGGAATGGACTCTCCCTGAGGGCAGGGTTCTGGGAGATTCTGAGCCTCTGGAAGAGCTGCCTGCTCTGCAGTAAATAGTGAACGTCTGCAGTGCGCTGAGTGGCACCCTCTATGTGCCTGCCCTAAACTGAGAGCTGAGGACACAGCTCTCAGTCTGGCAACCCCATCCCATCCTCTCACTCCAGGGACTGCCAGCCTGCCAGGCAACCAACCAGCACCCCAACCAACATGCCAGGCAACATGCTAGCCAACACCCCATCCAATACCCAAACCAACATACCCGTCAACATGCCAGCCAACGCCCCAGACAACACCCCAATACCCCAAACATGCCAGCCAACACCCAAACAACATACCACCAAACACCCCAACCAACACCCAGCCATCACCCCAACCAACATCCCAGCCAACACCCCAACCAGCATGAGAGCTAACACCCCAAACACCCCAGCCAACACCCCAAACATGCCAGCCAACACCCAACCAGCCAACACCCTAACACTCCAACCAACACCCCAGCCAACACCCCAACACCCCAACCAACATGACAGCTAACACCCCAAACACCCCAGCCAACACCCCAACATACCAACATGACAGCCAACACCCCAGCCAACACCTCAAAACCCCAGCCAATACCCCAACAAATACCCCCACAAACATGACAGTCAACACCTCAACACCCCAATCAACATGCCAGCCAACACCCAGCCAACAAACACCCCAGTCAACCAACACCCCAATCAACATACCAGCCAATACCCCAACCAACACCCCAGCCAACACACCAACAGCCAACACTCAACACCCTGGCCAACGCCCCAACCAACAAACACCCCAATCAACATGCCAGCCAACACCCCAAGCAATACCCCAACCAACACCCCAGTCATCACCCCAACCAACATCCCAACTAGCATCCCAGCCAACACCTCAACCAGTGCCCCAGCCAACACCCGGACCAACACCCCAACCAACAAACACCTCAGTCAACATGCCAGCTAACGCTGCAACCAACACCCCAGCCAATACCCTGTCCAGCTTCCTGGAGTGTGTGGTGGCATGGAGTTCTGCCAGGAGGGGCTGGCACAGCTGGGCTCAGAAGCCAGGGCTTGCACTGGCCTGCAGGGCTTTGGGGCCTAAGCCCACTGTTTTTACGGCAGATGTGTGTTGATTTGGAGCAGGAGAGGGCTCGAGTCTGGAGAGCAGGGAAGGGAGTCTCCCAGGCAGCCCCAATGCAGTGAGAGCCCCCAGGGGTTACTAGGCTAAAGGGACTTAACCTGTGGCTCAAGAGTTCTGATTGGGCCGGGCACGGTGGCTCACGCCTATAATCCCAGCACTTTGGGAGGCCAAGGCGGGTGGATCACGAGGTCAAGAGATCGAGACCATCCTGGTCACCAAGGTGAAACCCCATCTCTATTAAAACACAAAAATTAGCTGGGCATGGTGGTGCGTGCCTGTAGCCCCAGCTACTCGGGAGGCTGAGGCAGGAGAATTGCTTGAACCCAGGAGGCAAAGGTTGCAGTGAGCCGAGATCACGCCATTGCACTCCAGCCTGGGTAACGAGCGAAACTCTTGTCTCAAAAAAAAAAAAAGAGTTCTGATTAAGGAAAAAAAAAAAGAGAGCGGGCCTGCCTCACTCTGGGCCTGGACTGCCTGGACTCACCCATCAGGCCCTGAGGCCAAACTAGATGGTGCTGGCAACGCAATGAGCCCCGGGCAAGCTCCCGAGCTCCCCATTCCTTCCTGGGGCACACTCTGAGTTGGGGGAGCTATGCCAAATGCTGGGACTTAGGACTTCGCTCTACCTTCAGGGAGACCCAGTTTGGTAGGAGGCTTCTCAGCAGAGGGAGCATTTGACTTGGGTCCTGAAGTCTGAATAGGAGTTCTGCTGGTAGAGCAGGATGGAGACCCCCAGG